TAATTTCTCTGTAAGTGTCGACGAAAAGTTGGTTCATCTGCACGCTTTTTTCAAACTTTTTGCGAGAGAGCAGCCTTAATAATAAATGCAATTTGTTCATTCATATTCAAAATTTCAAAACACTTTATACACAAACACCGTGTCGAAGACTGAGGAAAAGAAACGACGTTAGACCATCGTTAGACAATGCACGGCCTTCAAGCCACACCTCCGTGCCCGTCGGAGAGCGTGAGGTTTTTTTCGTTACGAAATTTCTGGATTTTCCCGCACTAGAGGCCCGCGATAGAAGCTATGCAATAGCTTAAAAACTATTTGTTAATATAATTGTATGCATAGATCTTGAACCGCTAACAGATATTTCTCGCAAATTTGGTATGCAGTAAATATCCACCTTAAAATTAGAGATTTAAATGATATTTGCTGTATATTGACCGCAAGAGAATAAAATCACCACATCATATCTCGTGAGAACTTCATTAAATGGCGGTAATCACGTATAATCATCTCGTATCAAATGTAAAGTACATATTCAAACCGAGTAACGACAAGAAGCGTCAACATTGTTCAATGTCAACGTCAACGCTTGTTTTCGCGATCCCCAAAAGTGTCATTTACAATGTTAATTTATATTTCATTACAACTTCGTGTGCTGAATTAGATATTCCATAAACCGCATGTGCGTAATGTATGTGAAACATTATAATCCCTATTAACATTATTTATGCTAAAGTGTGTTTGTTAGTTTGTTCTTGTTTTTACACTGTTTAAGTGGGTATACCGGCCAGAGACATTTTAACCCGGAAAAATATACGGCTTCTGTGGGATATAACTGGAGGGTGATACGGTAATAACCTTTTCACACTTAAATAACTATTCAGAAGTTTTAGATATTTCTGTAAATATCACTTCACACTAAAACGGCTGAGCGGATTCAATATTATTTTGATAGAGATATTTGAGATTCGATGAAAATATAAACGCATTAATAGAAGATGTCACGCGTGATGTTTTAACTATCAACATCTGGCAAAAATCGTTTTTCCCACACCGCATCAGTGAACCCATGTGAATTAAATTACGCCATTTTAGTTCCCCGGGCAGCAGCACATGTTAAGTAAGATTCTGCAGGACATTGATATTGTAAGCGTGGAGCACTTCTTTCTCGATGCACGGCAACACAGTCGTGCTGAAATAACTGTTGGAAGAAATTCTACTTCAAGGAACGCAATATAGCCTTGGATGTAGCTTCGTTGGAGATCGCTCCAATGATGTCGCACAAGGGCACGGTTGAGGCCATTCAGTATAGCCTGCAGGACATCTGCAGTAACCAGCCTCTTATAGAGGTTATAAAAGTTTTGCTCGCAGGTGACTTTGCATAAACAATTCTTCTTCTTTCGTTGGCACTACAACCCTTTGTGGGTCTTGGCCTCCTCCGCAATCTTCCTCCAGTTGTCACGGTGCCTGGAGACCTTCTTCCAACTGGTAAACTTTCCCATCTTCCTGAGATTTTTATTTATATTTTTGCATAAACACTGCCAGTTGATAAAGAGGCACATCGGCAGGTAAAGGAACATGCAGTTTCACTGTCAGTCCGAGGTGAAACAACAGCTGCATTTGATTATATAACAAATTTGTTCAAATTTAGAATGACTAAATATTAGGTTCAACTATTGCAAATCGGAAATTTTTGACAGAAAATGAACGCAGATGGCAAAAACAATCTTTCCGTGAATTTTATCATTCAGTGGTCAATAAGAATTAACTACATAAGACTAACATAAAACCTTACTTTAACTTATTGCACAAGTTTCTCAAACTAAAGTTATGATTTATATCATATCATATTAACCCTTAAACCGACCTTATGGTTGCTACGATTGTTTAATCGCGGTCAAACAGCGAACGCACATAAGCACATGAGTTAAAAATGAGACGTCTGGTATATTTAAAAAATATTTCAATCAATTATAGTAAACATTTTCCAAAAGCTTTCTTTCTTTCTTCCTCTTACGAATTTTTTGTTGAATCGGCTACTACTAGATAATTTTCAGGACCGATATGACTTCAAGGAAAAGCCTACTCCTTTTTAAAATGTCGGAAACGTACATGTAATTTTCTTAGTGTTGCAGTTGTTCATCGGCTCGGCCTACAACGTGGCCAGAAATGAACTTATACAGACTAATGAAGGCGAAGGAAAGGAAGATGTGTCTAACTAGGAGTTGCTCGTTGGAAGCACGGTAATTGCAAAAGTATACCTAATGGCACTCGCGCTATGTGGCCCGTTACTTTAGATTAATGAATACCGTTAGCCTATGTCAGCTACCTTTGTTTCGCCTTAGGTGCTCGCGAAGAAATTTCACCTATTAAAAAAGAGATAGAAAAGTGAATTCGGAATAGGAACACCAAACAAAAAACAAATAAAATTTATTCGAAAATTGAATTTATAAACATTAAAAAAATTCTTGTTAATGTGGTAAATACGTTATTATTTAATCTCGAGACATGCAATTATAGTGGAAAACAAAAATATTATAAAAGTGTTACAGAGAAATAAAAAGTTTTAATGCTTTTATGTCGCGCTTTTACCCCAATTTTCTAAAAGCTTTTGTGAATAGACATACACATTATATTTAAATGGGTATTTTTAATTGAAGTACATATCTTATAACTTAAATTTTCATTTATTTTTATTAAATATTAGACGTTTAAAATAACATTGTAAATATCCACACAAAAATAGCTTAGTTTTTAAATTTTAAAACGAAGTTATTAGTAAGCAATTTGTAATTGTCGTCAGCCAGCGTAAAATAGCAGCTCAACGCTGCTGAGATTTGTATGGTGAATGTAGAGCACTGGAGACCAATTTTACTGGAAACAGGGCATTCCCTGATAATGATAATGATGAATTTGCATAATGTGGTACCATAGGACTGATCTAATAATGAACCTGGATGCTGCCCTATAAACAATCTTGAAAGCTCTCTTAAAGATTTTATATTTCATTAAGTTTATTTATGGATAGAGTTGAAGATATTCTTATATTGTATGTAATATATGCAATTACGATGTAATATTCATATTAATATTTTTTTTGCTTTATAGTAGGTATGTAAAAATCGGATCTAAGATTCACAAGATGGTTTCGTACCCACTCCTAATATTTATATTAATAAATTCTTAAAAAAAACACAGGGAATCATAAAAGAAAGATATTCCACATATTAATATCTCATATTATGATAAAATTTTCCAATATCACAGGATATGCATAGTATGATGGAAAATAATATTAAATGTACTTACAGCTTAAGAATTCCAATAATTTAAATGACAACTAATTTTGCGATTTATTGCTTACAAGTTACTTCTTCTAAGCATCTAAACAAAATGCCTTTCTTTTTGTGGGTTAGCTTTCCTCCCTAAAAATCCCCTCCACTCGTTGCATACTGTATTCGAATGAAAGACCGAATCCACTATTTAATGATTAAATAATTTTGTTTTGCCATTTTATTAGTACCAATCATATCAGATTATTTAAACCGAATAAATTCTGACTTATTTAGAGTTTCCAGACAGAAGCTAACAAATGTCGCAATATAATGTTCAATTGGCAAAAACTGAAAACTTTGAGAAAAAGCTATTTTGAAATTCTGCAATGAGTTATTATTTGAAATATTGGATCTTTTGCCATATATCCAAAAAACATACAATTCGATTGTCAATATTTTTTTATTATCTTTTTTTATTAAATAGATTATATACTTCAGGAATGATTCCATATGAATGCTATCTACGACATGGAAAGTTAAATGTGTACAATCACTGGTTATTCGTAGGAGTTATCTTTTGAAAAATTTAGCTTAAGTCTTAGATTGATTAAAAATATAATAAATATACACATCAAGATTGATATTTACGTAATATATATTGTAACTTCCTAAAAACAAATATAGCACTAACTTTACGCACTAACTTAGATAGATACATTAATGCCGTTTTTGTTCACCAGATAAAGGAGCATATGCGTTCCTAAAATGCACTGTGAATTGCAATAGCCGATTTCGAAAGTGCCCTTTTACATTTGGTTTATATTATCTGGCCTATAGTACCATAGAGTCGATTTGAAATCTTAATCCATTAAATAAAGTAGTAATCTTCCAATGGATACCTTCCCATACAGGTGCCGTGAGCAACGAGTAGGCTGACAAAGCTGCTAGTTAATCGATAAATGACGGTATTACGTATAGGATGTTACTAGTACACTACGAACTGTTACGTGAGGTTAAAGTAAATTGCAGGCAATTATGGCAAGAGTATTTTGATAAACGCTCACTTATTGAGGAAATATGGCAGCCTCTTCTTTACCCATGTCTTAAGAAGGATGTAATTAATTCAGATTTCAAATGAAATATCTAATTCTTCTAACTGTTTGGAGTGTTATACCTTAGAAGATTTGAGTTTTTGCCACAATGTATTCGAAACAAAACACAAAGACAAGATTTGAGATTTTTTCAAGACTTTAATATAGGTGTTTGCAATACTAATCTGCCCTTTTTCACTTTGTGAATGGGTGAAAAAATTATCAATCTTTGTTTAAATTTAGTATTAGATAGCGAGATGTCCCTTCTTAAGATGCAAATTATATCACATGATTTTGCAACTTACCTATGTTTTGTCATTAAATTAACTTTTCTTATTTAATATACCAAGCTAAATTGTTGGTATTAATATATGCCCATTAGTTAATTTTCTATTATTTTATGTATGTATATGTACGAAAGTAACGATAAAAAAGGGATTGCTTCACACTCAATTATTACGAAGCCTTAGTTTAATCATATTTTGTAAATAAAAAAGGAAATCAAAATATTAAACAAAAGTATTTTAATAAAATACGTAAAAATCTAAGAAAGTAGTTGAGTACGTATTTGTCATTATAATCTTAATAACTTAAACTTGTTTCATAATTTTAGCAAGAAAGTTGAATTATAATCAGCGCTTTAATGATCAATAGTCTTGAAGCTGGTGCGCATTGTTTCCTTAATTTGTCCGATGACCATTTGAAATTGTGTTGACGTTCGATAGTTGGCTTTGTATTTCTCACAAATATCTATAAACAGGGGATGCAAGTTTTTAAGGACTGCATGATCCAGTGTCGGAAACATATGATGGAGAGCATGTTCCCCAAAGAGTGTTACTACAGCGAAAAGGTTGCCATTTATATCATTACGGTCGAGAAGGGCTTCGACTTGATGTGCACCCCAATCAGGAGTTTCGTCTCTGAAAATATTTTCGCTTATTAATTCTTTTTTTCTGATTATTATTTTAGACATTATGATATTAATTTAGACTTTGATTTCTGAATAATTTTGAGCCCTACAAGTTTTTTTCCGGACATGGTAGGAGTTTCATGTGCAAATTACGAAAGTACTTACATGCAACATCTTCTTATTAAAGAAAAGCAAGGTAAGTTTAGCAAAAAACTTGTTTGATTCGATGTTTAATATAATTTAAGCACTTTTAATTTAAAATTTTCATATTAAATAAAATTCCTTAAAGTTACAAAAATTAGAATTTATTACATAGCAACTTAACATAAAGGGGATATAAGTAAGTATTCTAAAGTTCTCCATCTAAATTATATCTAGATGATTGTCTGAAAACGGGTTCTTGCCGCCTACACAAGTTCTTAAAAATGAGTCCTGTTAACTTAACGGACATACAAATTTATATGGACGGTAAAAAGGTACGTGGTAGAGCCACGCTGCAGCTATGTTAAGGTCGAGGAAGGTTAAGAGTCACGAATGGGTCGGCTCGACCGCGGTAGGATTGCGATCTCACTGAATACCCAGCGTATTTACGCTGGGTATTCAGTGAGTATAGAGACCGAGCTTTAAAAGCATTCCATTATTCCCCACGATGCCCATCCACATTTTGATTCTTAATCGAGCATGCATTTAGATGTCTATGGACCACAGCACCCACTTACCAATACGTGGACTGTGTGCTCGGTTGTCACTCATATTCTATTAAAAGAAAGGTTTATAATTATTGTATAATAATTATAAACCTGTCTTAATTATATTTTATTACCCACTGGTTATCCGAAAAGTGATTAAAGAGTGTCGAAAAAAAAAGCGGACAAATGCAAATAAAGAGACTTAACGAACAATTTCATAACGATTTTTCGAAAAGTTAGGAAGTGGTGCACACATAATAAGTAATGTGTTGAATCTGTACATAACTTTTAATAAATGTTTTCCTCTGCGATGTTTTATATTGCAGTAATCAATAGCGACAGACTCTATTAGATGCAATGAGCCAAGTCCCAAAAGATTTACAACAGCGTGGTTTTCTTTTGTAAGCAACGTGGTACACAATCACTCTGCTTACAAAAGTGTTTTATTATATTGTTGATTTTATTCAACGTTTTTTTTTTTATTGATTATAGGTTACCTGGGTTGATCGCCGTCTTTTATGGCATCGGGATGGTGATGAGCAGCGTTCACTCCAATTAAATGGAAAAGTAAACTACCAGTACAGACAATCCATAACCACGTTACCAAAACTTTTGTAAAAGGACTTCCTGTAACTAGCCACATCCACAAAGGGAGGAATAAACCGAGTACGTCATGCCAACGATAGTGATTCTTCAAAAATCCCTCCCGGAAAAATATTGAAAAGAACCTGAAATATTTAAAACAAAAATTTATTTATAAATGTTAAACTATTCTCAAAAATGGTGTCATTAATTTCTAACGCGGATAAAAATGAAATTTAGAAAGAATTATAAACAATAAATTATCTGTGGTAGAGTCATACAGCAGCTATATAATAGTTGTAGCACGAATAGGTCGACTTAAATAGGTAGTACTATGTTTTCAGAGATGCGTCACAAGCGTCACAAGCGAAATAGCAGCTTATTGCTGATGTTATGTGTGGTAAGTGTAAAGATACGAGGCGTTCCATCTTGATTCTCAGAGGTGACAACGCATCTGAATTTTGATTCTTAATCGAGAATAGATGTAGATGCCTATAGGAAAAAAAAAACGCCACATCATTCACGTATTAAAGGGTGTACTGTGTTCTCTTTTGTCACCCTTATTCTATAGAAAATCTTACTTAACACAATTAACTTAACATAAAGGAGAAGGGCCCTTCTAAAGAATGTAAAATACTACCTATTGTGTTACAAAAATTAATCATAAAAAAATTATACCTCTTAGCAAAACTGATGATAAAAATGAAGGGAAAGAAGCAAAATTCTGTAATAAATCCAAGTCTAGCATGTAACGGTTTATCTTTTCGGGGATTGTACAATAGTATTGGTTCTAAAGAGCTGATTTCAAGATCCATGAGTGTGTTAGTATAAAGGTGATGTGATAATACATGTGACACTCGGAAGTCTCTGAAATTGAAAAACATATCAGGAAAATAATTATACGACAGACTACGGTTAATAAAATTACAGTACAGTGCAGATGACTGGCCGCGACCGTGCGGGCGCTTTCACTGCGTTATATGGGCAGTTTCAACCAATCCTGGAAATTGTGTTCTTTTATTCAATAACATTTAAACTTTGAAACTTATGTTATTACAGACGTAAAAAATATTAATTTAAGTATTTTTTAAATAAATTTACCGATTACTGGCGAGAGAATCCACTACTTACCATACTTTTAATTTTATAATATTAGTAGTATATTATACATAGTAGTATACTAATACGTATATCGTAAAATAGTAGCTTAAAACTGTTTTGTTTCGTATGGCGATTGTAGAGAACCGGAGATCCTATTTGCTGGATAAGAGGCCTTCCATCTTAGTCTTCATCGGCGACAACGCTTCCGCGATTTAATTTTATTTAAGGAAAGATATAGATGTCCATGGGCCACTGCATCCACTTACAATCAGGTGGACTGTGTGCTCGTTTGACAACCTATTCTATAAAAAAAACATAAAAATAAAATGTTAAGTATGAAACTGTTTCTTTCCTGTGAAATTTTCCTTTTTTTCTTAACTCAGTTAATATTTTTCATTCGATTTTAAAAAACTCCCTGTTTTAACTGTACAATATACTATATATAAAATAATTTGGTTTGTGTATACTAATGGTGTTCATCGCGTAGGTCTCAAAATATCATCCAGTGGGTGTCGTAAGAGCAACAGAAAGAAAGTGAAACGGAAGATAGGCAGCGCATCATTAGAAATGTTAGTTAATCATAATAAAAAGCAGTTATTAAACCGCTTTCCAAACGTCGTAACTATGGTAAATATCCCTCTGTGAGACAATCTGTATGTATTACGGCATTAGGAGGCGCTGCAAATACCTATATGTAAAGAATAGAGAGATCTCAAAAAACTATGCTTATGGTCATGCTTATAAAAGCAGTTTGGTTCTCCACCGGAAATGCTACTAAATTAAACTTAACAGGGAGATGTCATAAAAAAGGCTCCCACCCTGCCTGAATACCAACATCTTTAAAAAAATAATATGGCACCTAAATAGGAATATGAAACACACACACACACACACACACACACACACACACACACACACACACACACACACACACATATATAAATAATTTATACTAAAATATGTGCTGTTCTTATTTGGTAGACTGTGTATACTGTACAACTCCAAATCCCTAGTTAACTTTCGCTCTCGGACCCCAAGATAAAGGATTATCCTAGTTTGGGGTCCATCGGAAAACATTTGTATCTTTTCTTGAACGTTGTTCATTACATTTGTTGGAAGTAAGTATATATGTCAATAAATGTTATTATAATGACCCTGATTTGGAAATAAAATGTTATACTTACCTGTAAGACCACATACTCATATTAAATAAGAACATTCTCCAGTTCGTTTTACGGTGTATGAAATTGTGACTAGCAACAGTGAGCAATGCTAAACACATGGATGAAACAATGTACCAAAATTGTATTAGCCAGTAATTATGAGACCAACACGCAAAAGCTGAACTGCATAAAAGTGATACAAATAGGCCGTCAGTTATTAATTTGGTTGTCTTGGAATCATTTTTTGGAATGTTATTCAATTTTTGATAAACTTCTTTTTTTAAAGTTTTATAAAAACCATCTTCTTTAAATGTAAAAGGAGAGTTACGTGGTGTTTTTGCATCTCGTACGTAAAATTTACAGAGTATTTTTTCAGCTACAGGATTTAAGTGATGAGTTTCAAATGCCTCTGTTATATCAGTTCCCTGAAATCAACGAAAATGATGTTTTAATTATAAACATAATTTTAATAAAATTAAACTGGGCTCAGTATACAGGCGTCCTCTGAGGCTTTTCGATAACCTCGTTTTGGTTAAAGTTAATCTTAGCAAGTATTGAGCACAGGTGCAGAGTTCCTAGGCTCATGATATTTTATAGGTTATAATATGTTGAAGAAAGTGTACAGAAATTACTTCAATAAAATAATTCCTCCCTCCTCCTTCCACCATTTACGGTACATCTGAGTGAAATGATTCGTCTTCAGGGCGAGAGTGGATAGACTTTTACCTCGCTGTTTATTTAGTTGTTGGCAAATGCAGGTTTTTTCTAGCTGTTTTCGGGAAGATGCTGCTGCCCATCTCCTGTTTTAGTTTCACTCTGTCGCCTCTTAGGAGACCCACGGAATGGTACGGGATAGTAGGTAATCATACACCGCCACTACACGTTTAATAAACGGACTCGGTATAAGAAATGTCATAATACCATAACCCTTATGCTGTCTCATGAATCGTATATTAATATTTCGATCTTTTAACTGTTGTCTATATCGCAGACAGGGAAATTGTTAATATATTTTTTTTTGATTTAACTTTTACCCATGACACGAAATAGATACTTGAGGTAATAATACACATAATAAAATTATAGATACATAAACACTCACGCCTGTCACCCAGAGGGGTAGGCAGAGACTACGGACTTCCATTTGGCACGATCCTGACATACCTCTTTCGCCTCCTTTACATCCATACATCTACGAATACATGCTCGTCGGTTAAGGGTACTTCTAACGTGGCCCATTTTCAAAATATCGCCAATTTGGTCGATAAACTTTTTTCTAGGGCGTCCCTTCCCGACTCGGCCGTTCACATCTGCCATATAAATTTGCTTTGTCACTCTTTGGTAGCGGCGTAAAATCTACCACCACCCCTTGTTCGCACCATGACTCAGAAAATAAAAAAAATTATAGATATTTAAAAAAATGCAATTTCCTTACCTTTGTTAGTTCCAGCCATTCTTCCCCTCCCGGATGTTTTTCAACAAAACTCGTTAGATCATATAATTTGTCATGAACCCGCCAGAGGCCATCTGCTCCGTCATCTAATACCTTTCCACTAAGCCATTGCACTGGATCCCTGATCCCGGAATCCCTAAGAGAAGGATATTTGAGTTGTGGAAAGCTGACATGAGTAATTTTTTTTACAGCCCGAGTTTGTGCAATACGATCCCAATTAGTTTCTCTAGGAGCCATTAGATTTTACTATATATTTTATTATAAACCGTTTTGTTATTTACTTGTTTTAAATTTCCGTAATTAACTATTCTAAAGTAGGTAGCACTAATAGATATTAACAATACTCTACATGAGAACTATTATCTGAGGAATAATGAAATGAGCTGCGATTTGTACATGTTCGATTGAAGTGCATCTAAACCTTCCTACATCCGCGTCAAATTATGTGACACTCATTACCGCACTCGGTCTTGCAGACCGAAAGTTTAAAATTCTGTTCTATAAATTTATTCCACAAAAACTATAGTGAAGTTATATTTTATACAAAACTAAAGGATATATATACTTAACAAATAAAATACAAGTAATTACGAATATTTATATTACTTATTTACTGATTAGGAGTTTTATTACATTATTATTTTATTACATGCTATGAGAAAGTGTAAACTTTTCTTAAAAACTACGTAAAAAGACGCTAAAAAATTCTTATTTATTTCTTTCATCCATAAATAAACCCCGAAATATTAAAGTCATAATGAGAGACTAATATAATAAACTAACACCTAACCTTAAGCTACAGTCAGAGCATAGCACGTTCCACGTAAAAGAAAACTATATACATATTTAGCATAGCTAAATTGCATCTTACGGCCCTTTTTTGAAGATTCTGGATCATTTTATTAACATAGTGAGATCCATAGGAAAAAAAACTTCAAAAAGTTCGAAAGTGCAAATTTATAGTGGCATTTTACGTTTTAAGTAACTCAAGGTTAAGATAAGATATCATTAACTGTCTTCTTATAGGATTTGAAGCCGTAGTCCATTTCGTCTGACGAGTCGAAAGACTTTGCGAGACAATAATAATTAGTAGACATTTGGCGACCTTCCAACTCAATTAGAGAATCACTTTCTCTACAAAATGACCCACTTACTGCTATCTACTTAGTATTGTCTTGTGTTTTACGAAAGTTCTCCAACTTGCTGTCGTTTTCACTTCATAGTTGGATTACGAATATGCTTCTTCCAACATCAATCTAATTTGATTTTCATCTATCGTTATGTGAATTTTAACTTAAAAATAAAAAGAATGCTTGAACTACGCCACTGCATACAAAAAATTTAAAACAAATCGATATTACAAATACATCAAAAGTCATTATTAAATAAAAAGTTTCGTCAGTCCCACAAACCGATTAGCGCTAAATATGCACTTACTATTTGTGCGAAGGCACTTTCCACGCAAACATAATATCGTTAGTAACGTATCATGCATGTAAAAGAAAGTACGAGTTGCCAGGCGTTTAAAATATAAGAAAAAACGTGAAATAATCTCATTTCCTATATCCGCGCGACGGTCTATTAGACCGGTGGGTCTAAGGGACCGATGCGCGGATATAGGAGAGTTAATTTATTATATTATACATCAAAGACTATTATTTTGTACTAGATAAGATAAACAGCACAAACTTAGTAGCAGTTGAATAAATTTATCATACACTTCTTATTACTTGAAACTTGAGCTTGATTATGTGTTGAAATTTAACGTTATTTATTTTAACTCGAAACTAAAATAGTGTTCTAATCTGATATAATGAACTAAGGAAAAACATTTAACACTTTCAAAAGAGTACTTTGAAGACATAACAATAATCTGGGATATTTTGAAGGTGTGATCAGGTCTTTGATCAGCGTAATTTCTATCCCACCAATAACATAAATGAACACAGTGAGAAAGGGGCCAAGAACCAAACGCTGGTCTGGGATGTCGGCCTCGCCAAAAAAAAGTTCCAAAATAACAGCAGTAGACGATATCCCGAGTCTATTTTATCTGTAAAACATGAGTTTTATATAAAAACGTTTTATATGTATATAGTAAGTATATCATATATATTGATAAGATTTGAAAAACGCGTGTTAAAAACAATAATAATGGACAACGTTTTTAACATTAACTTTAATTGTTTTCTACTTATGAGGCCTATTTAATTAGTGTTACTTGAATAACTCATCACGTAACTATAGTCCTCATGAATATAAGCCTCTCCTTAAATTGCCTCAAAAGAAGGCACGCTTGGCAGGCGCGTTCGCAACGTTTTATACGTGGTAGAGCCACGCTGCAACTATATTATGGTTATAGCACGAAAAGGTCAGCTCGACAGGGGAGGGGCTGTTGTGAGTATAGAGAACCAGAGACTCGTGTAACTGGAATCGCGGCATTCTATCTTAGTCCTCAGGAGTGACAACGCATCTGCATTTTTTTTCTTAATCGAGGTTAAATATAGATGTATTTGGGTCACAGCATCCACTTAGCATCAGGTGGACTGTGTGCTCAATTTTCACACTAATACTATAAAAAACCGCAATTTTTCTTTTCTAGTTATTATTAAGGAAACGCTGCTGCCCATCTGCTGGCTCGTTTCCCTCTGTCGCCTCTTACGAAACCCACGAGATGATATTATAGGGTAATGGATATTCTTACAATTTTTTAAAGGGTCACTAGGGACTTGTGGACTGACTAGGGACTCACTAGGGACTTCCTGAGTTGTTTATAATTAATATTTGCTTGTCTATCATCACGGGTGGGTTTCTTAGTGCGAATGGCAAGCTGGCGAGACGAATATCATAAGTGCGGGCGCGCTTCCTCGCTGTCCCCACCGCACCGCCACCGTCGCCTTTGCATTTGTTCTCCAATACCGCCACTACACGGTTAATAGTCCCTCTTGTATTTTTTTATTTAAAACACTTGTATTTCTCGTATTTTTGTATTTGAAATCGGTTCTTAAAAAAGCATTAATATGGAAAGCAGTGCAGTTGACGAAGAAACATTTTCTTGTCTTCAGCTTGGCAGACTATAGGAAAGGTGGTTACGTATGAGGCAATTCTTATATCGTACTATTCATTTTACTTATGTTTTCTACAAGAAAATTGCGAATGGAATATAATCTTTTACTTATACTTCTTTCAATATTTATAAGACTCAAGAACTTTAAACCAGCACAACACAGCGATGATCTGTGCTTAATACACAATTTAACATTCAATGTGAAAACTTGATTGATGAAATTTGTAGAGTTCTATGTCTGTATATTACTTTGTACTACCTAGTACCTTGGCCAAGCGTTAAAAAAGTAAGTATAAATTATAAATTAAAATAGCGATGGTTGCACTTATTAAAACTTCTGTTTTATGTATTTGTGATTTTTATTACTGTATTCTTATAACTAACATATAAGAGAAACAAGTACACGAGTCGATATTTATTATTATATTACAATGAAGTAAAAGTTATAATTACTTTATATAACAGTACAATTTAAGAAGTTGAGACGGTGCAATATCGAAATACGGTTATTCAGTCCGGGTTGATAAAGGCTGCAGATGTATTCTCTAAACGTATCGAACAAGAGGGCTGATGTCTGTTTACTTCTTTTGGCATACGTATTGCATAAGCACACTTTAAATGTCAGCCCCTCTACGGCAAATAAATAGAAAAAATATAGTTATTTTATATTTTATATCAAGCAAAAACAAATCTAAATCTCGATGGTTGGCTGTCCACTTCCGTGCATTTTACAAGTAGTGCTGATTAAATATTTTAATATTACTATATTTACTAATAAAATATCATCCTTACATTTGGTAGCGACTACAGAAAATATAATATAATTTCATTTCTTCGAATGGGTGTCGCTAGAGATGGCTATGGGAAATGGCAGAATAGTATATTTCATTACTAGTGCGGAAAGCCCGTCATTGCAAAGAATTCCGAAAAATATCTACCCGAGGCACAGCCGAAGGTAAGGGTTGACAGTCGTAACAAGTTGCAATGACGGTTACGCACGTGTACTGAACAACTATTTTGAATACAGTTGCAAAAAATTAAGCAATATAATAAAATAATAAAAACGCAATTAACTCAACTAACTTAGTTTCGGGTATTCACTTATATCCACGTTTTTCCTTATTTTATCATCAGCATACTTTTTATCATCAAAAACCTCGACCATAACGTAGAAGGTTTTAATTTTGCTGAGAGTTCGGAGAAGTATGCCAACATAACATTTTCTGAAAAACTATTTGCTTTGAATAAAACTATTATTTACGGATTTTATCGCGTTTAATTACTTTAATTTATTTTCATTATTATCCCGACGTTGTGTATAGGAAAAAGACCCATACCAACCGATATCTAAATGGTGAATCTCACCATCATCCTTCACAGTTAGCTACCGTGGGTAAATCTTTGTTTCAGAGAGCACGAGGGATCTGTGACAGAAAACATCTGGCCGCGGAGCTTCAGCACGTCAAGCAAGTATTGCAAGACAACAAGCTTCGGGTCCCGCGCCTACGTCACAGTGAACGAGTGAAGCCGGCCACAGTCGAGCGCGCTCCTGCTCTACTACCATATGTCAGAGGAGTCACGGACAAGATTGGCTACATCTTGAAGCGAGCGTCCATTAAGACATACTACAAGCCGCTGAAGAAGATTAGTCAATTTTTACCATCCATCAAATGTAATATTCCTCTACAAGATGCAGGTGTGAATATTACATCAAATGTAATATTCCTCTACAAGCTAGATTGTGAATGTGGTCTCTCTTACATAGGTCAAACAAAGAGATCTATAAAAACCCGCGTGAAGGAACATATTGTTACGCGCTCAAGTCGACGGTACTAGCGCCATCTAGTCTCAAACCGAAGAACTAAACTTCTTGAAGTTGAAACACGAACTCTCCTCCTCGGTACCTTGCGCGTGTTTACTTGAATATTCTGGATATTTCGCTGCTAATTTATATAAATAGGCGCTGCAAGATGCGATCGGGGAGTATTGAAGTTGGCGAGACAAGCGAAGCTTCGGAGCGGAATAAAGTGAATTAAAGTGTTAATTTAGGTAATTCTATCGGCAATTTTTATTGTCACGAACCTCAAGCTCGTAACAATATAGCTGATGTGAAGCACCGACGCTCCGGGAAGTCTGCAGTCTGCGAACATGTTCAAGATCGTCTCCACCATTACATTAGATTTGATAAACCACAAATTCTCGCAAAAGAACACCGATTCCTACCAAGGATGATATGTGAGGCTATTGAAATTAAAAAAAATCCAAATTTCAATAGAGAAGATGGTTGGGTGCTACCATCTGCTTGGGATCCTATATTGATAATTAACAAAATTAAACCCAAACCCAAGCATACCACTGCAAGACTTCATGACACTATAAGCTCGTTTTGCGTAAATCAGACCAAAAAATAATATTAAAAAAACTGAAGGTAGCCGGACTAACTATGACAATGAGACGTCAAACATCTCAGTCCCCCCGTGACCATGGGTGCTGTAAAGCACCCGAAACGTCGGGATAATAATAAAAATAAATTAAAGTAATTAAACGCGATAAAATCCGTAAATAATAGTTTTATTCAATGTGTAGTGTTCGCGTAAATTTAAGAAATCATTAACTATTTGCTTTTTTCCCTTTTCTCCAAGCAATAAATTCGTTGTTTGTAGATATGTAGCGAATTTTTGACTTTTCCGGTAAAATGTTCTCCGAAGCATTTTGCGCAATTATACTGAGTTCCGGTGGTGTTAATTCAAATAAAATATCGTCGAAACTACTAATTTTGTGCAACAAACAACTAAACTCGCAAAGAACATTTTTGGAAAATTACGCCAACCGTAAAAGAATATAAGCAGAGATTTTTTTTTGTTTTCTTCCTCCATTCTGGGTAGACAAAGGGAACTATGCCCATACAGCCAATTCTTCAGTAGATTTTTTATTGATATGAAATGAAAATGAAATTTAATAAGATAAAATGAAATGAAACCTAACCTAACTAATTGAATCAAATCATTAAATCTGATATTGAAACAAATTAGTAGTTTCTTTTTAGAAATATTTGCATGAATCATAAAAACTTCTATGTTTTTTTTAGTAAAATCTTTGTGGTTTGTTTTTCTTTTTAATAGACCTTATTTTGACAGTTGGGAAAGAGAACGCACGAGTTCGGAAAATGTAAATAAAAAGCTCGAGTATATATAGCCCACATCCCAAACGCTATACGTCCCTGCAATACGCCACTTTTTGAGCAACTGTATTAAAAAAGTCTTATGGTCTTCGATATATTGTGGTATAACCAACTCGTTTACGTCAAACGTAAAATACCCCAACTGGCGACGGGTAGCACCGTATATATAGCGACTTTCGGGAATAAGATCGTGATCCGCTCACCAAGTGTGACGATTAAGTAAAGCAAAATCCTTTCTACAGTGATACAGAAGAGGTCCAGATTATACCGGGCTGATAACTAAAAACAAGTAATTTCTCTTGTACGTAAATCACTATCTTATATTTAAGTAAACATTTTAATCATATCTACTCCATTTTGGTGACCTTAACAAAGATTAACTATTTGTTTTATTTCATCTTTTTAAGATATAGTAAGTTTAAGGGTCACATATATAAAACCAAATACTACAATACAAATCATATATCGTTGAATTATACTTTATGTTTGCACGCAGTCTTTTAAAGCATATATTAATCACTTTGAGTTTGCAGAATAACAATAAATAAGAAAGACATAAAAGTCGGTAGAAATGCCGCCTCATAGTGACTATTTGGATATTGCGATAAAACGCGCAGCAGAAAAGAAAACTCATGTTAGCTTCCCGCAACTTGTCTACCCATCGCTTAGAGATGACGGACTTAGAGATCCGGTGCAATGGTTAACGGGAAAAGCTATGGACGATGGAGCCGAAGGTTTATGGCGTGTGCACGATGGACTGTACGACTTAAAAAGTTTTCTTGATAAACATCCAGGTGGCGCAGAATGGATAGAGCTCACAAAGGTATTTTTGAAACGAAATACATAATACATTTTAAAATGTATAATATAATAAAAATATCAAAGTATAATCAAAGATTATTCATTTCATTAACCTTGCATTTTTAATGTCATTAGATCACTCATCGTGTTGCATTTAATCTGTTCGTGCAATTTCATTACAATCGGACTAGACGTTCTAAAGACTGCCCGGACAGTAGTAGACATTTTATATGTGGTACGAGTAGAGGGATTCTGTAGTTATATTAGTAGTATATTTGTAGCACGAATGGGTCGGCTCGACCGAGGAAGAACCACGCTCTCACAGAATACCAGCGTAAAATAGCAGCTTAATGCTGCTGTGTTTCGTATGGTGAGTGTAGAGAACCGGAGACCCTTTTTACTGGAAACGAGGCATTCCACCTAAGTCCTCACGGATGACAACGCATCTGCATTTTGATTCGTAATCGAGGATAGATGTAAAGGTCTATGGGCCACAGTAATCACTTACCATCAAGTATACTGTGTGCTCGTTTGTCACCCACCCTATCCTATAAAAAATACAGACACAGAAAAAAAATGAAAATGGTTATTCATCCAACTTTATCAGCTTAATTGACGGCAGTTATTTCGATATTTTAGACAGATATTTAAATTTTATTTATATATACCTACAGATTTAACAACAAGAATAGATATGACGAGCATGTATGCGTAGGTGTATGGATGTGAAGGAGGCAAGAGAGGTGTGTCAGGATCGTGCCAAATGGAAGTCTGTAGTCTCTGCCTACCCCTCTGGGTGACAGGCGTGAGTGTTTATGTTATGTTTATGTTTATGTATTTAACAACAATTATAAACACTATAATTGATATTAGTTTGTGTTAGTTCTCAATTTTTACTATTTATTTAATAAAAATATTCCTTACCACTGTAGGGAACTGATATAACTGAAGCTTTCGAGTGTCACCATCTCAATCCTGCAGTTATCAAAATGTTAGAAAAGTACTATGTTAGAAAGGCTCAAACTCCCAGGAATTCTCCTTTCACCTTTAAAGACGGTGGGTTCTATCGTACATTAAAACGCGCAGTTTGGGAAGAACTACAAAAGTTGCCAAAGCATGTCAATGAAAGGGCAGATAGAATTATTGATGGATTATTCATTTGTTTTATGGCAACAAGCGCTTTATCATGCATTTCTAAGGATTATTGGGTTGTAATGGCATCATATTTAGTTGCATCTCTGAGCCTTGCTTGGACAACCGTTGCGGCACATAATTATATACACAGGAAAACTAACTGGAGGATGTATCTGTTCAATTTGAGCATGTGGTCTTACAGGTAAATATTGATAAATTTTTTTTGTTACCATATCAAAATATTATGATGAAAATATTTTCTTTTTGTTTCAGAGATTTCAGAGTATCTCATGCACTTTCCCACCACCTGTACCCTAACACACTTATGGATTTGGAAATAAGTGGATTTGAGCCATTTGTTTTTTGGTTACCGCTAAAAAATCAATTTTACGGAAAATTTGCTATATTTATTGAGCTAGCCACGTTTGGTTTCATTTTCCCAATAAATTTCTTTAAAAGGTAATGCATTCCTAAATAATGTACATCACCAACATTATCATTACTCCCTTTCACAAGTCAACTGCTCAACATAGGCATCCTCAAAGTAAAGCTACAAAATACGTTCCTGAGTTACGGGGGCTGATCTGCTTTGCATCGCTTTGGCTAAAAAGCTTCAATTTTAATCATCATTTTTAATTAACCATAGAAAATTCTTGAATTTTCGTACATTTCCGTTTTTATACTATACGGGACTACTGTAACTGTTAACTGTTACAGTAAATATAATCTCAAAAAATGGCAAAGAAAACATGTTTTTCGGCCTATTATTTTCCGGTCCAAGGTAAAAAAAATGACATTTGTTAGAACAAAATTTTTAATTTCTTACGTCGAAGAAAGCTCGCTAAGCGACCTTAAACTTTCCACAGTGAAAGATCATGTCTCATTTCCAAGTTATGCCATCACTGGCAACACACACTAGTTGTACACTCTTATTTTATATATTGAAGAATATGTGAAGAGAAGATGTGCTGTAACTTCTCGAAACATGCCCGAAGTTTGTTTTTGTAAGTATTGTAGAAAGTCGAAGATATAAAACAAATACCTACATGAATCTGCTTGAACAACATCTTGGTTAATGTTCGCGACGGACTAACAACGCTAAGAAACTATGCGTATGTATGATGAAGAATATTGTTTTTTGTATTAATAATGAATTTACCGACAAAACTGGGTGAAAACGTGTAATGATATAGTTGTGTAGCATGTTTATAACTATTTGTATATTTGTATAGAATGTCGTTTTGATAACAAGTGATGTAAACAATTTTTACTGTATTAAGAAAAATCGACCAATCACAGCGCGTCTTATCGTAGAACTCTCTAGAAGTTTTTAATTAACTGCGTAATAGTTTCTACTAAAAATAATGAAAATAATTTTATGTTCTAAAAGAGTTGTAAATATGACATTAAATTAGCATATGGCTTATAGATTAAGGAAGTGTAGGAATATTTTGTATAATTAAACGCATTTCGTAGTTATAGAAAAATCAAAGAATTACTGTACCCAAATATTATGAAAATTTGGGACATTTCGTTTAATAACTTTTTATAATTGTTAATGTTTTGAGTAACCTTTACGATATACTAATAAAGTACCAGACTACCGATTTGATGATGTATAGCATGTTAGTGTAGCAATTAGTTTTGTATAGAAAATATTGTAATTTATGCCATTTGCATAGTGAAAAGTTTATGCAATAAAGAGGCAAAACGGAAAATGGCAAGCGGCTCACTGTAAAGTATAGCCAAAGTCTACCTTAGAGGCTCGTGACCCAGTAGGAGTAGTAGTGTGAAGAACTACCAGTGACAAGTGAAGTGAAGTGAGTGGTATCCGGTGGTAGCTGAAGTGACTGGTAGCAGTATATAGTTAATAGTGAAAGTGTTAGCTAGCCAAAAAAGGTCGTAACTGACATTCGCAGTTACATATAGTGAAAGTGTTAGCAAGCCGAAAAAGATCGTAACTGATATTCGCAGTTACATATAGTGAAAGTGTTAGCTAGCCGAAAAAGGTCGTAACTGATATTCGCAGTTACATATAGTGAAAGAATTAGCTAGCCGAAAAAGGTCGTAACTGATATTCGCAGTTACATATATTGAAAGTGTTAGCTAGCCGAAAAAGGTCGTAACTGATATTCGCAGTTACATATAGTGAAAGTGGTAACTGATATCCGCAGTTACACAAGTGATAAAATCAGCTAGTTTAGTTGATAATAGCTGCTAGTCAGTAGTGTTAGAAAACCAGCTACTACTAATAGATATGTGATACTACCGTACAATTTAAAGAAATCTTTTGAAATATACAGTGACCAACCAATAGTGAACAACCGCAGTTCAACAACCGTCAATAGTTCAATAGTTATAAAATTTCGCGACTAATCAATCAGTCGAACCGCTGGCCACTACCTTGCTATTTGTATTTAGTAATCGTGCATTTTGATTTGAACCTCAGTCCACAATATCTCAGCGGCACCCACAAAGACGGCAGTGAAAGTACCCACCGGAACCTATAGGTGTAGGACGTGAGCGACTCGCGAAGTATCTTCGACAACATTTACTCCGGAGAGATTCGCCCGTCCGGCACAGTTAAATTTTATTTCTTTAATCATTTAAATATTCAACTCATATAAAAATACCCAAAGTAAAACGTATATATTGGAAATTCAAAGAAGTCAGCGCAGCCTCTTTAAAATGATGTACTATACCTGAAAAACTTTATAAATTCTGTCTGTTAGAAATTCAATCTGTGAGAAAACTAAACATTTTATTTACTTCTGTAAAATTACACAAAACATTACCATTTAGATCTGAATTACTACACAAAAGAAGAAAAGATAGAGTTGCCAATTCCGTAACAACTAAATTTGCTAAACGACAATACTTTACACACATACACGCGTACACACACACACACACACACACACACACACACACACACACACACACACACACGGAGGGAGAGAAAAAAAAAGGGGGTTTTTTTTTTTTTTTAAAATAGAACAGAAAACACACACACACACACACACACACACAAAGACACACACACGCACGCACACACGCACACGCACACGCACACGCCACGCCCCCCCACACACACACGCACACGCACACGCACACGCACACGCACACAACTATAACTTATGTATACCCTCAAAAATGATTTGTCGTTGTCTAAAAAACACGCCAAAACCGCTTTCTTCAACTTCTTCATCACTCAAAAACTTTTTCACTCGATGTTCTTTTTTTAAGTTTGGAAATAGAAAATAATCACTGGGGGCCAGGTCAGGACTATAGGGTTGGTGTGGCAAAATTTCGAAGCCCACTTTCACGTTGTGAACAGGTGCGTTTTATGCAGAAGAAGTGCAAGTATTCTCCTTAATGGCTTCCTTCAATTGTTCTAGGGTTTCGGGTTATGGAGACACCTTTATCTTTATAATTAATCAATAGGATTTCTTCTGAGTCCCAAAAGACTGTCGCCATGATTTTCCCAGCCGTTTGTAAAAACTAAAGTAAAGTTACAACCTATCTACGTCCCACTGCTGGGCACCGACCTCCACTCATTCCTGAGAGAGTTTAAGGGCAAAGTGTCCACCGCGCTGCCCCCACGCGTGTTGGCGAACTTCACATGTCTTCGAAATATATTTTTTTCTTTTTCCTCAGACCTGCAGGTTTTCCTCACGATGTTTTTCTTCTACGATTTAGCAGGGATGGAAGATATGATAAGGATATAGAACGACGAGTGAATGCGGGAAATAGAGTAAATGGGGCCCTGCACTCTATTGTGAAGAGTCAAAATGTGTCGAAAAAGGCACGTATGGCAATTCACAATGCTGTGTTGGTCCCTACTTTAACGTATGGTAGTGAAAGTTGGGTGTGGCAGAAGAAGCACGAGAGTAGAATGAACGCAGTAGAAATGCGGTCGTTAAGGAGTATGTTAGGGCTGAATCTTAATGACAAGGTAAGAAATTGTGTAATAAGAGAAGAGTGTGGTTTGCAAGATGACGTTGTGACCAGGATTAAGAAAGGAATGATTCGGTGGTTTGGTCATGTGGAAAGAATGAATGAGGAAAGAGTGACAAAGAAAATTTATGTTGCAGAATGGAATGGCAGAATCGGAAAGGGACGTCCTAGGCGAAAATTTATCGACCAAATTGGCGATTTATTGAAAACGGGCCAAATTAGGAGTACCCTTAACCGACGAGCTTGTATGCGGAGGTGTATGGATGTGAAGGAGGCGAGAGAGGTGTGTCAGGATCGTGCCAAATGGAAGTCTGTAGTCTCTGCCTACCCCTCTGGGTGACAGGCGTGAGTGTTTATGTTTTTCTTCACCGCCGAGCACGTGGTAAATCAGCAATTAAAATTGCAATTAACAATTTCATTGGTGCCGGCGGGGAGCGAACTTGAGTTACTCGCGTTCTGTTATATTTACAGCGAGCGTTAACCATCTGGGCTACCACGGCTTGAGCCGATTATGCCACCTTAAATTTCTTGGATGGTAGTTTGCCTTTTTTGTGCCACTGCATAGAGTCCTGTTTGGACTCAGGTTTATAATGGTGAATCCAAGTTTCGTCATCAGTAACAATTCGAGCCAACACTCCATCTTTGTCTTCCATACAGAGGTCCAAAAATGCACCAGAAAACTCCACGCGCTGTTGCTTTTGAGGCGGTGTGAGCATTCTAGGCACCCATCATGAGTTGAATTTAGTCATGCCAAGATGGTCATAAAGAATTTAGAAAATGGTTGTATCTGATACTCCAAGCATTTCTGCGAGCTGTTTTTTCTTTAGGCGGGCATTTTTTAATATGAATTTTTCGACTTTTGAAGTAATTTCCGAAGTGGTCACCTCGATCGGCCTTCCTGGTCGTTGGTCGTCTTCAAGTGACTCTCTGCCTTGTTTAAGAAAGGTATGCCACTTGTAAACTATAGTTTTACTTGTACAAAGTCCTGATCTCTTCCATATAGTCTGAACTAATTTCCACAAAGTTAAAGTACACTATTCTAATTACAAAACCCATTATTTATACTAAAATTCATTTTTTTGTCTCTTTATTTTTTTTAGTATATATCACACTTAAAAGTTTTGGCCGAACATTTGATTAAAAACGTCATTATTATTTATTAAAAAACATTTTTTTGAAATATATTTTTAAATGCTAATTAAACTTTTCTGAATATAAATATAGGTATATAAATGCGTTTGTTCTTATTCAGTAATTATTTGAACGTCTTGTACAGACGCCCCTTATGAAAAAAATGTACATTTTTTTATCGCTGTTAAACGTTTTATTCGTTTTAAATAAAATTCGTATTCAGTAATATAACACTTAATATTAATCAAACAAAACTGTATAATTATTCTAATTCATAATTTATACCTATTTTTGTGATTTTTGTCAAAAAGTAACTATTTATAAAATACACGCAGATTACAAACCGCTATAAGTACCAGTAGCAATAATATACATTTTTAAAATTAGAGCAATTAAAGGCTATTAAACTTTATTTACATACATCAAATGTTTAAAAAAGTAATAAGTAATATCCCTATTTTTTAATTTACAGGTTAATCTTGAACTTTCTGCGAAAAGATTTCTTTCTTACTCATTACCGATGGCATGATATTCTTGGTTGTCTCGTACCAGTGTGGATGTGGGTCGTCAGTGGCAGTAGCTTTTATGACGCGTTTGTAATGTGGTTGTGGATTCTTTGCACTGGCAGTTTCATTTTCTTTAACATTGGGTCAAATGCAGCTCATCACCACCCCATATTATTCAGAGATGGTGATGAATTAGAGTAAGTAACTGCACTTATAATCTGTAAACCTAAAGTATTATCTTTGGCAAAGTATTATTTTATCAGTAAATTAACTATTTATATAATTATAATATTTAAATTTGACGTTAATTAATTATAATATTTAAATTTGACGTCATACTATTACTGTTTCAGTGAAGAAACGCGCGACTGGGGCTTACATGAAGTAGAAGCTGTAATGGATCGCAGAGATATTAACAATAGCTTTTTCAAAGTTATGACTTTCTTCGGACATCACACATTACATCACCTGTTCCCCACTCTAGATCATGCTGTATTGGAATACATGTACCCAACATTTATTGAACACTGTGAAAAATATAAAGCTAAATTCCGTGTAACAACACAGTTTGATATGGTTGTGCAACAAATTAAACTAACAACTACAAAAGCTCCGAAAATTCTTGAAAAAAATTAAGTATAGAGTATATATAGAATAATTCAAAAGTTTATTCCTTTAGATATAACAAAAAAATAGATAAATGAATATAATTTTAAGAACATAACTCCGCTGATATAAATAATACTTTTTTATCTTTTTCTTTTTGTTGCCTTACTATAAACAAACCTTTAAGGAGCACTGACCTTTTCATTATCTTCGACTATATTTGAACAAAGAAGTTGAATAAAGCTAATTTTATGGATTTTATCGCGTTTAATTTTTGTTTATTAACTCGTTGCTTTCAGTGTATAAAGTTACGGACAAGTCACTTTTAAAAAAGACCCTATCTAAGCAGAAAGGGTTTGAATTTAATTTTATTAGTCACATCATTTTATTAGTCGTTTTATTTCAGTATTCTCGCGAAATTTATGGTTTATAAAAAATGATGACGGATGATCCTTAACATAATAACAAACAGACTAAAGTCCGAAGAAAAAGTGTTTATTAAATCCAAACCTTATGGTATGCATACAGCATCTTGAGTTATTGCCTGTAATACCTCAAAATACTGTAAGCTCGTTCTGCGTAGATGGACCAAAATTTAACATTTAAAGGTTGAAAGTAGTAGTAGTAGTAGAAGGTACAAGACTATGAATGCTGTAAAAGCATTTAAAAACATAAAATTCATAAAGGTAATTTAATTCAATCTAATTCAATAAATAATTCGAATAAATATAAGACAACATGAACAAAAAAGATTAAGTAAACTGAACGAATTTCTACCGTATTACTAATATTTTTATTATATATATTATTTAAAATAAACTTCTATTTGAGACGACAAAAAGTTCATAGCGATATATCCTTGTGCTTGTTATATGTATTTATTAACTATCCTCTAAATACCTAACTACTCTTTGTAACTGCAATCATTTAAACTTTTCATTTATACATATAATAAAACAGTAACGAAAGAAAAACTGTACATTGAGTATTTTCGAGAAAAAATAAGGCTTTTGTTAGAAAAACGTAACTGAAAACGTGACTTTTTAGAATTTTTGTCTGTCTGTGTGTATGGTACGGCTTCACGCCAAAACTACTGAATAGAATAAATTGAAATTCAGCAAAAATGTTCTTTGTAAACCAAGGAAGGCTTTAGGCTACATATTATCACGCCGTATGTTATAGAAGGTAAGCAGTATTGATTTTAAAAGGGTTTTCTTCGTAATTGAATGCACAAAATAACATGTTAGTAGTTAAAATAAAAATAAAAATTTAACTCTGTGAACATAATAATCACGCTATTTTTATAAAGGAGCGGGGCAGTAATATTATAAATTGCAAGGGAACAGCTGTTCAACAATATGTCAACGGGGAATTTAGCGGTAAGGTCAGGCGACCGTTTACCGTATTAAATGGTGCGAGTTTAAATCCCATAGTATTGTTTTGTAAAATCGTATTTTTTGTTTAATTTTTGCACTTTTTATGTGCATTAGGAAATCTGAGAACTTTACATGTCCTATCTAATTGTATGGAGAGTTTCACACCAATATTACTAAACAGATTGATTGGTGGTACAACAAGTCATGAAGTCAAGTCAAACTTTTGGTTCTAAGTTATACCTTACCAAGCACATTTGTTGCAGGTAATTGACTTAAGTATGTAATTCTTAGTTTTGTTCCTTGCCGCGGTTATCATATTTTTTAATGCAAAAATAATATGCATGTCAATTAAATTATGAATTAAATCTAAATTGTCGTTAATTTAATAAATTCATTTGGGTAAATAATATGTAGTTTCCGTTTACTAACTAGATGGCGTTGGCGGCGAGTTAGATCGCACTATGGTATGTTATAGGTGCCGATGGGCCGCCCTCATCCTACAGAAACGGGGGTTACCTTTGTTGTCTGTGTTGGTTGATGTGTTTAATTTTCCTGAGAATAATTATTATTTTTCTACTTACTAGCAATTCTTACGTACTTATTCGGATACTTTTCATTGTTTTGAATATCGTTAGTATCGGATTAAGAAGGAATTTTAGCTATGCCTTTTAGAAAAAGATCAAATTTGTGTCGAAACTCAAGGGTTTCTAAGATGCGCAGGTTAGTTCAATCTCTCGAAACCGACGCAGAGCGTGAACAACGGCTAGGTGCTAACCGTGAGCGTAATGCACTAAGTTTGTCCGCAGAAACTAGCACGCAGCGCCAATTACGACTGGAATTTAAATGAGTCCGCACTACTGCTTCTCGATCTCAGGAAAGTGTGGAACAACGAGAAGTGCGTTTAGCTATCGACTGGGATCGACATTCATTGTCTCGCGCATCACAGAGGGATCAGAGGTTGAGTTTTCAGAATATCCGCTCTGAGACTGCTCGATCGCTTGAGAGCAGTCAGAAGCGTGAGATACGACTTGCGCGTGACCGAGAACGTGGGCAAAGCTAAGGGTACAGCTATAGTTTATAAAGAATTTTTTAAAGTGATTTGCAATATTATTGTTAATTCAGTGTACCCTTGGGATCCGGTGCATTCCGCACCGGATCGGTGAAATATACGGGATGAAATGTTTTTTGTGGTATAGGTGTTAAATCTAGGTAACATATAGGCTATAATTTGTTTTGTAAAATGGAACACCTGATGCACAACCGCAACAGACCAGCTAAAGTATAAGAGATATAAAAATGGTGCCATAGCAAAAAATATTCTACGTGAAGAGTTTTTTCTGCTGTCAGAATAAATCTGGAACACCTGTTGTGGAACTTCAAAGCCTAGCGACATTATAACATATATAGGCATGACGTCTTGGCAAAAGTTGTTTAGTCTGATAGGCATTTCGTGTTGACTTACAAAAATGAAAGATCTGGAACGTCTTGAATCGTCTAGCGCATCACGTTGTTTTTCCGTCCCCAGGCTCTTAGAATTCGACATCAGACGTTTCAGATCTTCGATTTTGACGACCTCGTTTTCTCTGGCATAAGCAACATCGTCCGCGTACGAAGTCGCGAGCAGCAGCCAGTTTAAACATAAGTGGGAATACATACACGAGTACAATTCACTCGTAAAATTGATAACCCACAGCACCCCACCGCGTGATATGATATAATTAGCTCAAAGAATTTTCATTTAATTAAGTAAAATAAAAATAATATTGTTGAATATTATTTTTATTTTACTTAAAAATATGAAAGCATTAAGTGTACATAAACTCAATGAATTCTAAAGCATGATCCACACCTTCTGATCCTATCCTATTTGTCGGAAATCCTAAATCGGAGTCATTCTCTACACACTTTCCGATATGCTTCCTTAAAATCAGATCGGCTTTTAGCGATGACTCTGTGCAGACGTGATTCACATGGCTCCTATGTTGTCTAAACTACAAAGGATTATGGTGGGAGTAGCAATATCAAGTACCATTGTGGATACACGAAAAAAGAGGAAAAAGAGAAGCTTATGGTCTGAAGAAATTTACAAACAGAGAAAAAGGTTTACAACTCTAAAATTGATTAAGGTTTTAAGGTTTAAATATTTTCGGACGTATTTAAGGATGAACGAAGAGTGTTTTTCTCAATTACTGAGTATGGTACGCCCATTTATCCAAAAGCAAAATACTATTCTGCGAGAAGCAGTAAGTGCTGAAGAAAGATTAATAGCGACTTTGAGATTCCTTTCTTCTGGTTGCAGCTATACTGACTTGATGTTCAATACTGCTATATCTCCTCAGTTACTCTCACAAATAATACCATAAACCTGTATGGCAATATATAAATGCTTAAAGATTTTTTTTACGTAATTATTTGTATTTATTTATGGGGTATCTATATAGTTTTCTCATCTGGTTGGGTTCTATAAATATATAATTATAAATGAAAATGAAAAGATAAATATACATAAATATCAATAACATAAAATAAATATAAAAGTACATAAATAAATAAAAGCCCAACCAGATGGAGGCCCTCGGCAGGGGAGACCAAACGGCCGAGGGTTAGGGGGAAAGGGAAAGAAACCGGCGGACGATGCGGGCGGTATCGAGGAGCACCGCCTTCTGCATTTGAACCTGGAGCGGTCCGTCACGGAGTCCCAGTCGCCTCATATGACCCGAGAGGCTGACTGGGATTAACCCATTCGCAGAGACGACTACAGGAATAATTTCGGTCGGTCACCTCGTGAGCCAGGTCCGGATATTTTGTTCGCTTGTCTGTTTCGGCTTTCACGAGGTTCTCGTCATACGGAATGGTAATGTCGACCAAAAATATCCTTGACTGTGCCCGGTCCATCAGCACAATATCAGGCTTATTGGCAAGAATAGTCCTGTCTGTGATGATGGCCCGGTCTCAATAGAGCCTGGCGCGATCATTTTCGAGCACGGCTTCCGGCAAGTACTTGTAATACGGCAATTTCCGATCCACGAGACCGTATTTCAGAGCGAGCTCCTGGTGTAGAATCTGGCTACTAGGTTGTGCCTGTGCAAGTACTCAGAGTTAGAAAGCGCCGAACAACCGGAGATAAGATGCCTAAGTGACTCACCGGGATAGCGACAAGCTCGACAGATGTCGACGGTGCCATCCTTTAGGATGTATCTCCGATAGTTGTTGGTCTTAATAACCTGATCCTGTATTGCACAGATAAAACCCTCGGTTTCCCCCGAAGAGATCACCAAAGCGTAGCCAGTGGAGGGCTACTGTGTCTACGAAAGGCTCATATAGAGCCTTGTAGAACCTCCCGTGGAGCTCCTTCTCCTTCCATACGGTCTCCCGGTCGGAAATGCTCTTCACTGCCGGATCTTGCCATTGCTCGTTGGCTAAGGATATAGGGGTAAGTCCTTTATCACAAGAAATGACGTCCTTATAGAATGGATCATCAGATCTCGCCAGGAAGTAATCACGGAGGCTGCACACTTCGCGATTATGCATGGTGAGCGCGCTCAAGAAGCCACGACCACCATGCTTCCGCGACAAGTACAGCCTCATTACCGACGATCTCGGATGATGCATCCTATGGGACGTCATGGTAGTGCGGACTTTTCTATCCAGGGC